CTGGCTTGTATGCTTTAACTCTCTTTTCCTTGGGGTCCACTTCAGTCTTGGCATTATTTTTGGATCATACTCAAAACTCGGTTCTCGTTCTTAATCACCCAAGTTGCTTGTTTTGATATTTCAGTTCGCAGTGGACGTCATTGTGCTGTCTCTGTCTTATTGACTGCTCACTTCTTTTTATTTTCTTCCTTGGAGGCTTCAGCTCACTCGTGGCTGTTTCCAGGGTAACCGCATTCCCTTTCGAAACTTACCATGTCTGACACTGGATGCTGTCCGTCTCCATGGCAACTTAACCTTGAAAGTCCCAGTAAATATAAGATTTGGCATTAAGCACATAAAAATAGACGTGAAACTCAGGCAAGATCAGCTGTTTGTTTCATTTCTAAGTAAAAAGACGTATTTATTTATTGTGTATTCTCTTCCTGATTAATGATCTTGTGTTAAATCTTGATGTGGGTTAATTGTTAGATGTGTAGCGCCCCATGCAGTGTTCTAGAAAGTTTGTTTCTGTATATGCGACTTCCCACTAGTATTACGGTAAGTGAAATGGATAGGTAGCAAATATTTGTGTTAAATGGGTAGACAAAAAAGTCTCGAGATGCAAAAACCTACTGGCAAAAATATTTGCTCAGTTCACAGCTGGTGAGTTTACTGTATTATGTGAAGTTGTTTTTGATGCCTCCAGACAACTCTTCAGTGGAGATGCCATCTCTTTTCAGTGTTTCCTGGAGAGTTGCCCTCGCAGCAAAGCCTAAATGCTCAAAAATCTGCCCACATTTCTTTCTAGGAGTTGAAGCAAAGTAATTTTTTTTTATGTTTCAGCTCTTCACATGGGTCTTGTAACAATTGGACTTTGGTACATAAGAACAAACTGACACCTACTGATATGAAAGTGGCAAGCATCAAGTCTGTTGTGATATAATCATGAAGCATGATTTAATTTTCTTTTTTTTCTAGATGAACCGTGTTCAGTAAAGTTTGAAAACTATAATTGTGACATTTTGGAAGAGTAACAAGTCAAAGTATAAGACAACCTAGTCAAATGTTTTATACATTTTGGGAATTCTTCATAATTCAAAGGCCTAAAGGTTTATGTCAATGTGCTTTAATGCCTTTCATCATTACAGCAGGCTTTGTTCTCTTTCTATGTTTTTTTTTTTTTTTTTCCAAATTCTCAGCAGCCAATAATATTTTCAGAGAAAAGGCACATGCTTTCCAGTGCACTAGCATTTTTCTAAATCTTTTTTTTCTCACGCACCAGGTCTCCACATTTCAACTCCCAGATAAATTCTTCTGTTCACAATGAGGCCACCTAAAACCAGAGTTAGCCCTCTGTGGCCCAAGGGAATTTGTTGGCTGAAAGCCCTGAGGGAGAACCATGACAACCCCTTTTGGGCCCTGAAACTGATTGTGGAAAAAAAAAAAATGTTGTTTTTGGCACATACTCGCATGCCTGCTTTTGGTCCTTCTGTGTCTTTCAAGATACCATATTTATTGTACTGACCTTAACCCAGTTACTCACTGCACTTTGCTCTTTATCAATTAATTTGATCTAATCTAATTTCTTTGGTGCTACTACTAAATCTAACAATGCTTATATTGTCACCTCCTGTTGTAAATTGAGCCAAATTTGTCGTAGGAATACCGACTAGCAAAGAGCTGAGTTAAGTTGTGACCAGTGTGTGGACCAGCAGATATTGTTTTTAGTAACATAATCTAGTCTGATAAATTCACTTCAGATGATGCCTGTTTTTTTTTTTCTTGGCTTTGCTTGTGTAAAATACCTCTGAGAAAGTGTTTACAAATGCAGCTCATTGCTAGACTGAAGGGCAAACAGACGTGAAGGAGGAAAACTGCTTGCGTGAAGATGTTGAGATCCTCTTCAAAGGAAAATAGCCTTGATTTGTCTAACGGAACATAGCGGGTTTCTTTTTGAAGCAAGTATGCAGTAAGTCACTAAGCTATCCACATGTTCAAGCTGTAAACCAGTTTTAAATTGACTTGCACAAAAGGAACAAGAAGGTTAAGAGTTCACCATAGATTTGGTAAAAAACTTTCTGCTTCAGCGTATACTCATGAAAAGTATTGTCTGGTTTGGTTTAAGACCAAACTGAAAAATTAACATCAATCTAAAATAAAATGAAAGCGTTGCTATCTTGTTCTGTCCAGTGTTACACCATTAGGAGATGGGATTTGGTCTTTGTGCTTCCATCCTGATTAGTTTAAGAAAATGAAAACTAAATGTCGTGTTGCATGCACAATAATCCAGGTAGATAAATCTAACTGCGCTTTGCCACTGTCTCAACTCTCATTGGTTCTGCACCACACCACACCAGTTTAGGGCCTGCCCACTGCTGGTACTCTGCCCAGTTTATGGGACCGCCTTGTTTGTGGTTTTAAGCACACGGCTCCGAGGTGCCCATTTTGACGTAAGCAGACATCAGCCGGTGATTGGCCAGCAGAGCTATGTGGATGACCCGTCCAGCAAAACTGCAAACTACTTCTGAACCTTGACTTCTCTCTGATTGTGTTGACGGACAGCACACAAGTAATTGAGCGCATTTACAGAGATATCAGAGACTTGATGACAGAGACCCATTCTTATAAGCAGTGCTGGGATAAGCTAAAGAAACTGAAGTCCAGTTTTGGGGTGATTAAGGACCACATTGGGTGGAGTGGCTCGAACACGATGACCAGTTACGATACCACCCACTTTGCATTGACGGTCCCGCCCACAGAGCAGGGCAACGAGTCACAGTGGCAAATCACCTACACCTGAGAACAACGAATAAGACTAGAGCCGAGTGGAGTCTCGCTTGTCAATGGCAAAGTGGCTCAATAAATTGAGTCACGTCCTCTGGACAAATTCTTCTGTGTTAAAAAGTTTAATCTTTTATACAAAAAACGTCTTCAGTCAGCAAGTTGGTTCTGCAAGCAAACACTTCTAAGCAGCACCTTCTCATAGTGGATCAACCAGTTTGCTGGTGACTGTTGGTTTGACGGTCCTCTTTTTGCATGTGATAACTAGTTTTGGCTGTCACCAGCAAACTGGTCAAACTTAACAATCGATCTTTAGTCTCCTGATGGCCACTTGCTATTCACAGAGGACAGTGATACTCGCAATAACATCATTGGAAGAGGGGGACAATTGGGACACTGAGGCCTCTACCCCTGTTTAGTGATGGGGGGGTTCTCTTCACAAAGATTCCTTTCTATTCCAACATCGTCATCCCTGAATGAGGGACCACTGGGCTGCAGATGGGTGTAAACCTGGGTTGTTTCCTTGATGTACGTGGAAACAAAGCAGCCAGCCACTGGCCAAAAGGATGGCCCAGCACAGAAGAGCAGCATAATCAAGCCAGGACTCTGCGATCTACAATCATCTGCAGACCAGTGGTCACTCTTTCAGAGATTAAGATGTTCACATCCTTGATGGAGATGAACGTTGGTTTGAGAGAGGAGTAAAGGAAGCCATTTTTGTGAAGGGAAGCCGCCCATCATTAAACAGATGTGATCCATGTGCAATTGTCCCCCTTTTTATAATGCTATTTTTTCTAGTATCACATAGCCCTCTGTGAATAGCAATATGGCTATCAGGGCACTATTGGATAGGCTGATGGTCCTCTATTTGCAGCTCCTCAGTCTGAAGAAGACATTTGGATAAAAGACGAAACGTTTCAACAAAGAAGAACCCGTCCACAGGACCCGACTCAACCTTATTAGAAAACTTCCAAAAGCTTTAAATTAAAAAAAAAAATCTCTTTACACATCATATATCTCATTAATAAGACAAAAAAAAATTGTTCAGGCGTACTGTCCTTGGACAAGTTTTAATGTTTTTGCTGAAAAGCAATGTTCTAGAAAGTCATAGTGTCACCTCGGGCATAAAGCACAAGAGTTTTTGCCTGAATTTGTCACAGATTAGCTGAGGGTGCTGCGAGATTTTGAGCATTGTTTGTCAGATATTTTTCTTTTTCCTCAGGAAAACATGTTGTAGCTTCACATCATGTTGAGTTTTAAATAAAACTGGTAACCGTTTCATATTCACCCGGCTTTCTAAACTGATGGACACAGTTTATTGTTAAACGCCTGAGACTGTGATGGTGCTGTATCATCATCTTGGTTGAGCTTTTATCCAGTTTAAGGGGGCAGTCATCAACTTTGTCAGTTATTGAAATCAACTTAAATTTGCATCCTTTCTAAAGATTTTCATCAGCAGAACCCAACACAGGAGGACCAGATATAGTTTGTTTTAATCAGAATAATTGGTTGAAAAATCTGCCCTTGTTATTTTAAGGTCAATGAGATGGTGTGATAGTTATGATGCGTTTATGGTGAGAAAATCTAAAGTTGTTCGACAGCATTTAATACAAATTACCTGTAAAAGAGACAAACCGTGAAGTGTAATTGAATAAACTTGTGTATTTGACACCAATTAAATCACTGAACAAATAATCAAAGTCATCTTATATGAATATTAATATTACTGCGAACCTTCACTAAACTAACCTTTCCGCATTTGTCAACAGCGTCTGTCGTAGCATGCACTCAGAACATGTTTAGTTGTTTTTGCCATAAAGTTCTCTGACTGCAACTTAAATCAGACGGAATGCCAAATGAAATGGGATTCTGCAGACTTGCCCCACCTTTTGTGGGACTAAATGGGATTTGAACTAGATGCACAATTGGATATTTAATGAGATTTATGTGAAATTATCTAATGGAAGAGATGGGGAACCTTTGTATGTCCGCTACATGGTTATGTTGTCCGTTAGGTTGCAGGTCAAAGGTGCTATTGGTTCCTGAATTTACCTGTGATTAGGCTTCAGATTTACTCAGTGTTTGTGTTTTTTCTCTGTTGAAATTCAAAAAGGCTGGAGCTCTAAAATTTCTGCCTTCAACCTGTAGCTGACAAAATCAAAATTTATGGCATGATTTATTTTTTTTAACCTTTTATTTACATCTTCTTTTTTTTTTTTTTTTTTTTTTCATCCAACCAGTTGTCGATTCCTGGCAGAGCAGCTGACCCCGATCATCCCAGTTATAGGAGGCGCGCTGTTTTTGTTTGTACTTGGAACTCTACTGAGGACCAGTTTCAGTGACCCTGGGGTGCTACCAAGGGCTACCCCTGATGAAGCAGCTGACTTGGAGAGACAAATTGGTAAGAAACCTCAATCATCACTCAATTAATGGTTTTGACTACAGCAAAAGGATTTAAACGTCTTTTATATAACATTTTCATTTTTTGGCTCCTTCCCTTGTATATATTTTTTCTGCTTTTGTCCCCGTGTATTTTTTCAGGCCGTCACTCCTCTGCCATTGCAAAGGGTGTAAATAGAGTTGGTCATTTTGCTTTGTGTGTCAGAGAGGAGTCTTGTTTGTCTAATTAACACCCTTCTCAGTCATCTCTTCCAACTTTTCTAAGAAAAGATTTGCCTGTGTTTGTGAACTAGTGTGTGAGCTGTGAAGGACTTTTTGACACATTAACAGAGTAAGGAGTCTAAAGTAAACCTACAGAGTCAAAAATATTGGGATCTATCACCAATTTTTAACAGTGCTCAAGATTTTGTCTTAAATTAAATTCTAGTGCAACGTTGACCAAATTGCCTCATCTGTTTTATATCTATAGCTTTTCTAAGAATCCTGATTTAATGTGTTGTTTGGTTTTAAATTGCTGTTTGACTGATTTTTTTTCTTGTTCATGGTGATGTTTTTCCCAGTAGGTCACTTGCCTTGAGAGGGCGCTCGTCTCGTCTGGGTTTTTTGTTGACTGGGGGGAGACGGTGAGAGAAGTGTAGCTCTACGGGAAGCAGAGTGCTATATCGGTACTGCGTGTTAGCTTTGCGCTACGTTGTTGTGGACCGGGGGGAATAGCGGAGCGCCATGCTTGTATTGCACGCAGTTTGGAGTCTGAGCGGAGCTGCTACAATCTCCGCTCCCTGTCCAGAAGTGGCAGAGCAGAGTGCGGGGTGGGGGATTTAGTAGGCGGGGTGCTTAGTTCTGTTGACAGGGCAGGTCGCCCTCCTTGGTTCATGGTAGGGGAAACGCTAAGTGTGACAAGTAAAATTGTTGATGCCCTAAAAACTAGCTGACTTACCAGCAGTTCAACTCTGAGAATGGCTCACCTCAGGCCAGAGCCACCTAACAGAGCTATTTTGTGATGTAGGTCTGTTGCACTTTGCACAACAGGGCATTGGTTAACCCTGTCGCCTCACAGTAAGAAGGTTGCAGGTTCACCATATGTCCTTTCTGTGTAGAGTTTACTTGTTCTCCTCATGCACGTGTAAAGTTTCTCCATTTCATTTATTTATTTTTATAGCGCCTTACACAACCACGGTGATGGTGACCAAAGTGCTTAACAAAAACAGCAATTAAAATGACAACAAGTTAAAAGCAAGAAAAAAAACACAATAAAATAACAAAAAGAGAACCAGAAATGTCAACACGTATTTAAGTACTAAAAGCCTGTTGGAATAAAAATGTTTTAAGCTTCGATTTAAAAGGGCCAAGTTCAGTAATCTGGCGTAGCTCAAGTGGGAGATTATTCCAGAGTCGAGGTGCGGCCGCAGAAAAGACACGGTCACCCCAGCGTTTATATTTTGTCCTAGGAACAGAGAGCAGCTGGCTGGCTGACCTCGGAGACCTGGAGCGGGTGGGGAAACTTAACAACTCTGTTATATAAGGAGGAGCGAGGCCATTCAGAGCTTTAAAAACAAATGATAAAAGTTTAAAATCTATTCTATTCCGGACACTCCGGTTTCCTCCTGCAGACCAAAACCATGCATATTTGGTAAATTATCTCTAAATTGTCCCTAGGTATGAATGAGAGCGTGTACGGTTGTTTGTCTACACGAGTTCCTGTGATGGATTTGCAACCTGTCCAGAGTGTACCCCACCTCTTGACCTTTGGAGTTAAGTGCCAGCGCTGCCATGACTCAGAAAGGAAAAGGCATGTCAAGAAAATGGACGGATGAAGATCAGTCGCACTGCTCAAACAAAAAATCTAATGTTTGGAAAAATACATAAAAAAAAAAAAAAAACACAGATGGGATTTTGTATTACTTTATAAATGATAGTCTGAGATAAGCACACATTGATGATGGCACGTCTAAAATAAATGTTGGCACAATGAATAAGTCATAAAGTTGATGTGAAAATGAAGACGGATGAAGCACAAATTACAATTTGAAAATGTACTTGGCTTGAATGGGTGTCAGGCATTTCTCCAGATATTCTCCACAACAATAATCTTGTTTGGCTGCAGAAATGTTCTCTTACAAGGTGTCACCATTTGTTGTCGCTACAAATAGCCCTCCATCTACTTGTCTTTAAACTCTTAATTTATTAACGTTTGCTGAAACTTGCTGAAGCAGTTTATGACTATAAAATCAGGAGCCATTTTTGTAGATGCCTTTCTGTGAAATAAATACTCACCAAACATTTCACAGTCTCTTAACAGATGTAGAGAGATTTAAAAAAAAAAACTTCTCTGTCAGGTCACATTAGTTCTTCCTTTTTCTGTCATTCTTTTTTAAAATCCACTGTGTACTCTCTTGATTTATTGAGGGATGCCATTTGTCCAATAGTTGTATGCAAACAGCAAGTTTTTTCTGCTTTCTAATCCCCAATCTCTAAATGTGCCCTACTGCTTGTTAGCTAAATGAATTATCACCACTTAGCTCAAAGGTTTAGCTGTCTAAATCCTGATTTTCAAAGTCTCCTTTAAACTTTTGTTCTTTTGTGTTTGGAATGTGAAGCTCCTATTTACCAGCCTTTAGTTCTTTTCCGTACTTCAGGCCATTAGAACCTCATTAAACAAACTCCGGACTGGCTTAATTAATCTCATTAGGAGACTTGAAAGCCTTTAGAGGAAAGGTAGAGTACATAAAACGTGAAGCAGCAGGCTGAGACAGCACTGATTACAAGCACCACATTCTACTGGAATGGATTTTTTTTTTTTTTTTCAAAAGATAAACAAATTGGGGAACAAAGATATAGTCATACCGGTCATACTTTGTCCCCCCCATTAAAAAAAAAAAAAAGCAAAGTAGACTCTGTCATTGAAGCAACTGGTTTCCCCTGAACTTTTGTAAATCACAACAGCCTCATAAATAGTTGACAATGTTTTCAAAGCAGAGTGGTACAAGGCTCAAGTTCGGCACATCTTATCGATCTGTTGACTAAGCACTGAAGGCCCTACTCTCTGAACACTGAGGCGTTTGGGTCTCTTTCATTCCATATCCCAGAAGGGAAAGCTTATATGTAAGCTTTAGCTGTCGTTACGGGAGCTACTATTTCCTTGTCTGCCGAATTTCAGGTTCAGGTTGTCGTGATGTATAGTCTGCCTCAAACAAACTTTTTCTTGGCACGGTAAGGACATTTGACCCATTAAAAACAAAATGCACGCGTCATTCCCGTTCGGTCTCGTCATTTAATTTTAATGTTGCAAGGAAAACATTAGGCGTTCTAAGAAAGAGCGATGCCATTGCAAGGGTGCACAGATTGCTGTTTAGCTCCAACCGAAGTCAAAACAAGAGTTGATTTCTCATCGCTGTGCTGCATTTGATGCTTGTTCATGTCTGGCTGCCCAGTATGTCAGGACCAGACAGGCTGGCGTTATTTCACTTACTGCATGCCAAATCCCAGAAAATCTCCGAAGCTGTAATCAGAGTAAAAACATGACCAGAAAGGCTCGTTTCTTTTCTTTTTTTTTACTCCTAAAATGGTTCAACCTTGGTTGTGATTTTCAGGACGGACCCCCAGTTTTTGCAAAGCTGCCAGCCTGTTAGTTTACATACAGTACAGCTAAAAAGTCTGGACATCCCTCCTTGCTCCTAAAACCTTTTTCAAACACTTGTGCTGTAGCTGGAAAAACATCAGCCTCATGTAGCCCTGACTAATTTATGATCATTGCACCAATAAACGCCACTAAATCCAAATACTTTGCACAAATGTAATTATCATAAATAAATAAAGCAAATCACAAAACCCTATCGATTATGAACACCAACTTTAGATGTTAAATTGGAAAAGTAAATCAACCAGACTACATCAGGGACTTTATCTTGAATTAACCTGGCAGTGACCAGAATTATCATAAATAGTTTTTCATCTGAATAATATGCTGTTTTTTTTGTTTGTTTTTTTTTGTCATACCACTGCATCATCTTTCTGTCTGTCCTCTTGAATCAGCATCCAATCATGATTTATTATTTATGTTGGTACTCAAACCGCCATCGTGATCACTTTTCTCATTTCCCTTCTCAGTGTTACCAACAGGAGTAGGCCACATTAATGTTTAACTTTCTTGCTTTTGGCTGAACAATAGCTATTAGGTGTGCATGTAGCGGAATAAAAGGCTCTCTTACAAAACTTGACAAACGATGCTCATTTTTCACCAGCATAAAAACATCATCTTTCATTTCTGTTTCAAAGTGATGATTTGTATACATGGAATCATAAACATAAACACAGGTACTCATGTCCGTATGTCTGACAATATAAAGCTACTGGTACAGTCATTAGCGGTCATTTTGTTATCAAATTGCACAAAGAGAGAATATTTGTTTGTTTTTCTTGTACATTTGTGGTTGAATCTAGTGACGGGACATGAACAGATTAAAATAAATTGTGGAGGACAGCTGCTGTGGAGCTCTTTAGAGGGATGCACAAGAACAGAGCTGTTGAGCTGTTTTACTGGAAAACGTTCGAGAGAAGATTGACTGTGGAGTAATTGAACTGGCCTTGACTGGAGCAAAAAGCTGCTCGCCAAGTCCATCCTTTCATGCATTAGGCACAATTTCATTCTTGTGTACACCATATACATAAACAATGTTGATTTCTTTAACTTTAACTACGTAGAAAATGCACATGTAACAAAAACATCAAGCAAATTATGTATTTTTTAGCATTTTTCTATCCGCTCTGCTTCCTCGTCTTCTTGTGAGCTCTTGCTGCTTTATCAAGTTTGATGTCCGGTGTGAACCTTTGTGCTTTGTTTAGCTTTTTTCTAACCATGACTGTACCTCCTCCCTCATTATCATCTTTCTGTCCAACCGATGCATCTTCCCTGTAGCCGAATTACTGAACTGAGACTTTTTGGCCTCGGCCAAAGCAGAGGACTGTCAGCCCAAGACTGCATTTAGAACCAGTCAGTGATGAAGTGTTTTAATTTCATAAACTTCCATCTTTCTATTTATTTCATGTGGCTAAATTAACAGAGAGTTTATTTTAAGATGTTCTTGTTGGATTATAAACCAAGCTTTATTGACTAAATTAAACATCATGTAGTTGGAAAAATAATCAGATGAGACGTGTATAAAAATTGGGCTGCTTGTTCAAACCATGTGTTAAACATGGATAAGCACATCGAAATTGGCCTGTTAGGCTTTTACTGTGGGCCTTTATTACAGCTGACACATCAGTGATTACAGAATGCTCAGCAACAAGTCAGAAAGCAAACAAGTACAGCAAACAGTAATCAGAAACCCTCTTTGTAAAGAAATACATTCTCTTGTTTAGCTTTAATTGACATTTCCATATAGTTATTAGATGTTCTATCCAGGTCAGGAGCATTCATTCCCAGTGTCGTAAGAAACCTTGGTGTCGGTATTTATTTATTGCTTATTTATTTAAAGGACAAAGACGAGTCGAAGCAATAACTTAGGAGGGTTGACGTTTTTGGAAAAGATGTGACGAGCCAACGTGTTTTATTTCTTCCATTTTTTAACCTATGAAAAATAAACTGTCGTGTGATTTTTTTTTTTTTTTCTTTGCTGCTTTCAAACAGGTCAGACGGGGATTTTCCTTGGAGTGAATTTCTGCAGCTGAAGGGTTTTCTTTTTAAGCCTTATACACCTGAGACTCACAAGCAAAACATTACTCAAGTCTTTAGATGTTTGTATTTTCCCCCCTGCTGGATAAGGATGAAAAATCTACACAAAAACAGCTAAATGTTCTTTTAATTTGCTGAAGATGTAAATAAAGTCTGAAAGTAGACTTTGTACATTATATACGAGCGGCAGTCGTTGGGTATGAAGCTAAAGATCCAGAAGTATAAAGCCGATCAGTTGCAGTGACTACGGAGTTTCATTCAAGACATTTTTGTATTGGTTGTTAAACACTGTGGGTTTTTTTATGAAATAAAATGAAGTGAACGTATGTGTTGACTGAACGGTCATGCCACATTTCATTGGAATTTTACATCGGTGATGTAGGGGTAAGTGGATCGATCCAAGCATTAATACGGTATTTTTTGGACTATAAGGCGCACTTCTCAAAAATCTGCAGTGAGCCTTATAATCCGGTGCAGCTTATGTATTTATTCTGGTTGTGCTTACAGACCTCGAACCAATTTTATGTGGTACAACTGAACAATGTTGAGTTATTGTGAATTAGTTGAATAAAGTTTGACTTATCTGACAGTTTTGTTTCGATTAATGCGCCTTATAATCTGGTGTGCCTTATAATCTGAAAAATATGGTAATATTGATACCAACCTAGTGCGGTTTAAATTTTGGAGCCCCGCGTGTCCAGCTACAGAACAAAGGTCCAGTTGCTTCGTCTTTCTTCTTTTAATTTTCAATGTCCTACTTAGATGACTGAGAATCAAGATCAGCATGTTAAGAAAAGTGGACCACAATTCTTCTACAGTAGTGGAAGAGATGGATGAGATCATACAAAGGACGATTATTAACAGTGGTTTTAAAACTTGGCTTTAAATTGTATTATAGGGTGGATTTAGATTTTCACCACTTCTGCATTTTTAAGTAAATGACAGAGAAATGTGTAATATATTGGTGTCTATTCAAGGTCATATTTACCTAAATTTATGACCTGGCCAAGACCGAAAAAACAGTATTAAGTTCTTAAAATTGAACTGTAAGCATTGTACTTTATTTCTGCTATGACTGTTTGTCGTTAAAACACACAAGATGGCTCCTTTTACAGTTTTACTCTGAATCACAAGTGAGGTTTGCATGTGGGTATAGCATACGTATCGGTAAGTGCTGTTACATCACCCCCTGTTCTACCTTGGCCTTGTTCTAGTTTGAAGCTCTTAGACCTGGACCGTCTCTCTGGGGAATCTCCCTCTAGACACTGATGTGAGGCTAAACTTTTGCTGCCAGGATGGCTAAGTGAACAAATGGCTTTGTAGAGCAGAAAAGCTACTTTGACACCCCCGCTTTCACACCACTTTACTGCAGGCATCTGTGATTCAGTGGAGTGAACGGTCTGCTCTTGGTGTACATACTTTATGATCACAAAAGAAATTATGCTCAGAGTTGACTTCAGTCTGTGGAGAGGGTCATCACACGTTATCAGCCTGTATTAGGAAATTCTCGTTAAAGTAATTCACTAGCATGTATTAGTTCAGTCAGATATTGAGATTACACCTTCTATTCTGGTTATGGTTGATCGTGAAAGAAAAAATAATAATATACCTTCATACATCCAGATTATACGTTTAGTAATTGTTCTTAATTGGTAAATGTTTTACCCCAAATTAAGAAAAGCACAAGTACTTATGTGATATTATTATTATTATTATTATTACAAAATTACTAATGTTCTTCTTCTTGTTGCTGACTCTGGTCTTCTGTCCATCCTCATTCTGTGACCAACTGTGCCTTCAACACGATCTGTCATTCTATCCTCAACAAACTAACCTCCATTGGCATCTCGGGTATTCCTCTAGACTGGTTCATATCTTCTGTCTGACCACACTCAATTCATTGAGTTTAAATCCTTCCGTTCGCAGTCTTCCCCCGTCTCCACGGATGTGCCCCAAGGCTCTGTCCTCGGACCCCTCTTTATTACTCACCTCCTTCCTCTAGGTCATATCTTCCACAAATTTGGTGTCCATTTCCACTGTTATGCTGATGACACACAGCTGTACTTGTCAACCAAACTCTACTCGGTCACAAAGTGTCCTTGGGCGTCCTGAAAGGTGCTTTTTAAATAAAATTATTATTATTATTATTTAATAAGTTTTTCATATATATCATGTCAACAATATGATGACAAAACTGCATTTTTCTTTTTGTTCTTGTTTCTAGAAGCAATCATTCCAAACAAATGGAAATTAAACTTAAATTTAATATTTTTAATCTGTCTTTAAAACTACAAATGAGTAAAACAGCGCCACTCAAATTGATGTGGTAATTGTTTTATTTGTCTATAAAACAAAACTAATAAAAGTAAATGTTTTTGCAACCAGTTAATCTGTTTTTAGGATATGACCTACATATGTCAACATGTTTCTTTTCCTCCTTGCTAGCATAAATAAGAGAGCTCTCGAAACGCCTGGAAACTCCTGTCTAATAATTATAACGATTATAATTTAGAAGCACCTTATATACGACAGACACAGATTGTACTTTGGCCTGATAACCCAAGCAATAACACTTCTTGTAGTTTGAAAAGCAAATTGCTCTCAACTTTCCTCAGTTATTGTCCCCTGTGATGTGCTGAAAGGACAGAGAAGCAGAATAATGGTGGAGAGCTGAGAGCGTGCAGTAGACATTGATCACAATAGGGATGAATTCAATAGATCAGAACTCCCTGGCTGCGTTTTCTCTGCTCTCTTTTCAGAAATGTCAAACGCCTACACAAGCCTCGCAGTACCTAAACTCCTCGCTAACGCACACACATACTGCTTTAAAGGCTTCTACAAGATCTCAAAATTACCTTCCTACACACAGCGTTTTCTTCTCGCTCCGTGTGTGTGTTTTGGGCAAGCGCAGCAAATTTAGAAAGCAGGCGCTACGTTTTATCTCATAAAAATGACGATCATTACTGCCTTTTTACTCCATCATGAAGCACTGAAAGCAGCTTGCCAACACTTTTCAATATATTTTGGGGATTGTGGTGTTAACTGCGTATTAAATTTCGCAAGTTAAATTTAACCAAACTTGGCTGAAGTTTCTGTGCAGCAGTTCTCAAATTAGGTTGGGTTTGCTTATTGCTGTGCTCAGTAGCTAGGCTATTAGCAGGACAAGTGATGTCATTATTGCACAGTGTATTTTGCATTAACATGTTAACTAGTTGTTAAAGTTGTCATACTATGCGTGAGAGGGACTGATTGAAATGCAACCTATCAGAAGTCCTGATCACGTTTATTAATTCATCTATGACCAGATTTTGTTCTTTTTCCTCATCTTAGAACCTTCAACCCATAAACTGTACGGGAGCTCTGCAACGAAATGTAACTTGTGCTTCTTTTGTTTCTCCTGTTTGTTCTTAAGATGTGGCCAATGGCAGCACAGGCTACAGGCCTCCTCCCAGGACCAAGGAGGTTGTCATCAACGGCCAGACAGTCAAGCTGAAGTACTGCTTCACGTGCAAAATATTTAGACCGCCACGTGCCTCCCACTGCAGCCTCTGTGACAACTGTGTGGGTGAGTTGCGATGTTTTCTGGGTGTTAGCTGGATATTAAAGATGTACACATGCTTATCATCTATCCCAGTTTGAGGTGTTTTTAATAAAAAGTCTAAATGGATTTGATAAGCAGCCTAAACAAAATGTATATCAGTTTTATGAAATTCTAGTGTAATGTTTCATAAGAGCTGGAGTTGATTCTGAACCAGTCAGCCACCAGCATGCAGTATGTAGCATATACGGCTCAGGCCACACAGATTTCACATTATATGTGTTTGTTATAACACAGGTCAAGCAAAATATTTAAACTGTTACAGACCTGCTGTGAATATTTAGTACACACCATATGTTTGGAGAGTTTAATACAAAAAGAAAGGAGGGAGAGTTACAAATTATGGAAAAAGAAATGCAGAATTTTTCTGCCTTTAACATTCGAATTCAGAAAAGACAGTTATTAAAAGGTAAAGACAGAAATGTGCAACTTGTCTTTACATCACTCATCAGGATCTTTGGCTCTCTGTCTACAGAGACGGGTCTGCATTTGAATTTCTCTGTGAGATGCAGAGCTGTCTGACTACATCGGAGACGAAGATGATTTGGTAATCGTAGGAAGAGGAGAAGGGGGTAATCAGACACAGCAGCTTCACGCTGGCAAGAAGGAAGGAAGGCAGAAGCTATCAAAGATGAAAGAGCAGTTATCTGACAGGCATTGTTTATTACTACCTAAAGCTGCTCTTTGTCCACATTTTAAGCAGACACATTCTGAAACATGAATACTAAGGCTCGCTGTTTTTATAGATATTCTGCCTTAAAAACAATAAGATGAGCAAAGCTGATGATTGACATCCCTGCATGCACTTCAAACCTTTATTGGCTTGTTTCCTGACGAAACATGGACAAAAGACATCCAATCCTAAAAAAAGAGATGTTTCATTATAAGGTACCTGCACCATATTTAGATCATTGTTGTGAAAAGCAGCCACAGAAGTGAGGGAAATATAAAAGGAGAAGCTGACGCACAGCAGGAGTGTCCATCCTGCAGGTGGGTGGGAGTAAAAACCCTGCTGGTGAAGTTCGGTTGTAGGATTATCTCTTAATCTCATCTCAAAATTACTGCTCTCTACTTTATACTGAGATGTCTTTAACCGTGCTTCCCAAAAAGGTTGGGATGCTGAGCAAAATGTAGTCCCATGAATGAATGCCAGAGAGCATTTCTTAAGTTTGGCTTTTTAAATTACCGGTACGAACAGTTTTAGGGGTTTCATTGTCTGTAATCATGTTTTAGGAAGAAATTGCTGAATCACATTACAGCTTTTCCTGTCTTGAGTCACTCGTTGTAAACAATTAAAGCTTTTTGAGACAAAGACAGGCAAAACTTTTTAATTTGAAAAGTTTAGTGAAATCCATCTATTATCTTTACCCACTTCTTCTTTTTTGGGTTGTGGGGGTCACTGGTGCCCATATCCAGCTGTCAATGTGCAAGAAACATGGGACACCCTGGACAGGTCTCCAGTCCATCACAGGAACGCACAACATGGAGACAATCATTCACTCACTCACACCTAGAGACAATTTAGAGTTACCAATCAGCCTAACATGCATGTTTTTGGTCTGTGGGAGGAAACCGGAGAACCCGGAGAAAACCCACGCATGCACAGAGAGAACATGCAAACCCCAACCAGAAAGGTCCCGAGCTGGGATTTGATCCAGCGACCTTCTCGCTGAGAGGCGGCAGCTCTACCACTGTGCCACTGTGCTGCACGTTTAGTGGTCTATTTAAAAAATGCAATTTCTGTTCTAATTTCAGTGTCAGTTTTATTTATAAAGCCCTTCATAAACAATAGTTCCTTAGCTTTAACTAAAGACGATAAAATTATATTTTTAAGAAATAAAAAAATAAATAAAATGTAGAGCACACTAAAAGGAAGTAAAACAATAAAACTAGTAATAAAATAAAGTGAAAATGTACACGTCAAATAACAAAAGTGACTATTTTTTTGTAACATTTTAAAGAAAATAACCTCTGAGCTGTTCTTATATGTATGAACAGGCAAATGTTTCCATAATTTTTACCATTTTAACCAAATTTATGGCTTTAATGAATTGCAAATTACTGCACTTTGTTCACAATTTACTCATCAGTATCTAAAGAGAAACCACTGTTAATGTAGTAGATATAATTTTATCTGCCCACTGCATCGCTGTCGTCTTAATAATTAACATTAACAATAAGATGTGTGTTTTTAAAAAAGTGTTATCCTGTCTCCTTCGTCCTTTGGTGCTGTAAAAGCCAGAGGGATATCATGCTCTTAAATAAGTTAGGAGGCAGAATGGATAGGCCTTCCCTGGTGGCCGTGACGAGCAGGAATATGGTGGAGCTACTTCCTCTTTATTAAGACTGTCGTCCCCTTAGGAATGATGGAAGAAGCTTATGAAAGAGCAGAATTATGACACCGCCTCCGTCCCTCGCAGTCTTCTTACTCTGTTAAGAAAAAAAAATGGACCAACTGTGTTTTACGTCTGGCTGGAAGTAATCAAGAACACCGCAGCTTAGAGAGCAGGGCTTTGGATCCAATAATTGATTTTAATGGTAATTTTATTGCTTTTTGCTGGGTTTTTTTTTTTCCCTGATGTGCTTAGTTTGAGAACATTTGAAGCTTTAATGATTGCCTTGGGGGAATTATGTTATGCAAGCAAAAATAAATAAATAAATAAAAGCATCAAGAGTACTGGCACATAAATATGGATATAGTGCATCATTATGAAACCATTTTGCGTTTATTTCATTTTTAAAGCCATCATCAGAGGGATAATGCCACTGAACATGTTATTATTCCCACCGCTTTTAGCTCCTAACACAAGAGTTTACAGCTGTAATGGAGAAATGCATGAATCTGTAATTAAAGTTTCATCTAGTTTTGTTGATCATTTCATGTTGAAGACCTTTGTGATGAGCAAGGTCGACTAGTGGTACCTTTCCTCCCTCTCGGGCTAGATCCTCCGGTTCCCAGACACATTTCAACCAGGCATTGATCAGTGGAGACAAAAGAAGGTCATTTCAACTCACTAAGCTAATAATGGCTCTAATTAATTAAAGTAGCTACTACTGTGCGCAGTAAGTAGTCCTCACTCGGAGATTAGAGTGCAGCACCGAGGCTGATGGAATGATGACACTTCTTTTTCCTCTCTCGGAGCATTCGGCGAAACGAGAAGTGAAATGAAGCTGTTTGCAGTTTTTCTAAATGAAATACTGGTGTAATATCTCAAGTAATTGAACACTTGGAGCAACGCTCACTAATGTTTTATTCTTAATAAATTTCAATGTTTCCCAGGTTTGAGGGGAAGAAGTGTCCTAAAGTGATCAGAGGCGTTTATCTGTTTTTAAAATACTGGAAAATCCTGAAAAAATGTATTTGTTCTTGGGTGTCTTTTTGTAAACACGGTTAACGTCTCTATCTCGTTTTTTTAGACGTGATCAAACATCATTTTGATTTTCATGCAAAGCAAGCGTTATTTATCCTGCAACGTTCATGTCAGCCAGCCAATATTTCCCTGGTTTTTATAAATAGGCACTTTGCACTATGTGAAATATTTTGGATTGTTTTGACAAGACCATGAGGGACACTTCCCTTTCCCACAAATTTCCCATCATTCTCCGTTTGTTCTGAAGTAACCTGGTTTAGGTTGTTAAAAATTATATTGTTTTATCCAGTCAGTAAAGTCTCTCATAACTGAAAATGTGCCTGACAAATATTTCTCAGCTGATGTAATATAATCGTGTCCCACCTTCAAACGGGGGGAACATTTCTGTTATAGTAAGGACTTGTGCGTCCTCATATCTGAATTAACATCTCTGTCTTTTTCTTCTGTTTCCATTCAGAGCGCTTTGACCACCACTGTCCCTGGGTGGGGAACTGTGTGGGAAGGAGGAACTACCGTTTCTTCTACATGTTCATCCTTTCGCTCTCCTTCCTCACCATCTTCATCTTCGCCTTTGTCATCACGCACATCATTTTACGTAAGTAGCTCTGTGACGGGCTGCAGACACGCACTCCTTGTGGCTGTGTTCTTGGTGTGCTCCAAGCCAGCAGGTTGTAAGTGGGTGGTGTGAAACGCTGCAGAGCTCTGGCTTGGTACCATCTTTCCAGCTGGGAGCAGGCAGCGGACCACTCGGCTCGCTGTTTTTATGCGTGTGCATGTTTAAATGAGAAGTTGTGGGGAAAGTGTTGCACTAAGGACAATAATATGTGTAATAATTGATAATAAAAATTAAGAGCCTGACCGATTTGGACATTTTGGCTCTCGCCAGTACCGATATTTGGAGCAGATATACTGGCTGGAAATTTCTAAGTAAACATCTACTTTTAAACCTGTTCGTCTTGAAACAGTCTTCCTAACGTGCGTTCACATTTCTTATCCTCGACTATTCACCGTTAAGTTATCAAATGTGTTACATAAATATAAATTAAACAAAGAAATCTCTTCCCCGTTCACTGTTTAAACAGTCAGTCGTGTATGGTGAAGACCTAATTAGAATTAGAATTGAATGCAGTAACGTTTATATTGTTTTTTTGTTTTTTTTTGCAGAGAAGTAAAGATTTCAGAGAAACAGTGTTTCATTGAGGACGATAACGTTGCTAACGCTGATGTATTTTACCTCTACGTTAGATTTATTGTTCGGACTAAAGTTTTACAAGGCAATAGCCTACGCTAGGTTATCTAAACGTTAGCTTGCAAATTTGAGAGGCACGTCGCTAACAACAAGCGGGTTGGAGGATTGAAGAGAATTTATTATTGTTGATTTTTTTATTTTTATTTTACAGATCAGTTCAAATAAACTTACCATGCTTTGTTCAGCAAAATACACTACACAGTATTTAGTTGCTCCCTGCTCCGGCTGTGCTGAAACTCAAACTTGAAGTGAACGGCCATGGCTTGAGCATAGTCCGCATGCGCCCTCTGCTGGATACTTTGTACATTGCCTTTTGCAAGTGAGGACACAGCTTGTTCCCAGTGTTTATAATGGTGCATCATGGGATAATTATCACAGATACAGATGTGTATCCAAACGCCTATATCAGCCTAAAATATCGGCTCTGCCAATTTTTCGGTCAGGCTCTATAAAAATATTAACTGATGATTATGTGCAATAATATGTTGGATATTGGGCATATGTTGACAGAAACAACTACCTTAGAGGTCTAATGACAAATGTTTCTGTTTGCAGTCTCACATCAACGTGGGTTCCTCAGCGCACTCAAAGAAAGTCCTGCGAGATATCCTTTGCCTGAATACTTGGTGGCACTTGATTCTGAATGCATACTACACAGGAGTCATTTTTATATACGTGCAGTCTGACGAGTGTCAGAGACAAGTGTCTTTGAGGCCTTCAGGCGCTTGTTTGTGGCAATAAATAGTGAACTAGTTTGATCTGGATCTTGGTGTCACATTATAAACAATCACTCCTTTAAAGACCGTGTCCTGAGGTGGTGCACATGTGATAAGCATCACTGCTGTTTGTCTGTAAGTAAAAGGATTCCTCTTGACTGGTGTCGGTGCCTTTTGAAGTTTTATGTGGATCAGAACAAATGACTGGACAGTCCCAGCCAAATGATCTGGGACGTATTGGCATGAGGACGACAGCCCTCAGGTTGTAGGTCAGTATGCTATCCGCTACAGCTGCATTTTACTGCCCATGCTGGCTCCATGTGGGTCATTTATATTTGTACGTCTCTGTAGCTGAGCTGTCATCGTTATATGTTGCTTTTAACGTATCAAAATAATAAACACATCAGAGATTTTTCCCTTAACATTGTGGCAGCACTGTGCTGGAGGTGGTGGTGTGTTTCTTCTCCGTCTGGTCTATAGTGGGCCTCTCAGGCTTCCATACCTACCTGATCAGCTCCAATCAAACCACCAATGAAGATGTGAGTATCCACATAAAGTCCAGTATACCAGAGGTTATTGTATTTTTTAAGTGTATAACAAAGTTGTAATAGATATTTATTTAATTATTGAGTATATTTATGTTGTTTTTGTTGCATGATGTGAAAACCTGCATATGATAGACTGTAAGGAGAGAAAAATGTGTTGGTGCCAACTCTTAACATGTGCTCACAGCTTGAGCTCTGGATTCTTTTCAACTCAGCCACGCTGGAGAAAATTTCATGTGTCAGCACGGCTCAGTTGTTAATAATGCCAAGGTCACAGATCAAAAACTGTCCACTGACACTTCAGCTCGTTGATTGTCGGCCATATCTGAACTGTGAGTTTGTTCCATTCGGCTTTTATTAAATTATTGCCCAGTTCAAAAAGGTAATGATAGCCAGCCAATCAGAGTGTCGGCTCATGGCCTGTCTGGTGTGGCTGCTTAATTCAGCAGGTTACACATAAAACTTATCTATTCATGCACTTTAGCATCAATCACTAGGTTTAGATGTCTAGAGAGCTTCAGTTTTAAATCAAATTTCTTTGGATTCAGGCCTAGATGTGTCTGGACGTTTTAGATGTTGCGTATTGTCTATTTTTTGTATGGCACGTTACACGAAACGGTTCACTAGCGTTGGAACAGCCACAGTGCATTCAATAACAGGAATCATGAAATGCAGAAAGAAACGAGCTACAGTCGAACAGGACTTGGCTCAGTAAACAAGCCACATATAAACAGTGCGGGCTTTCTAACGACTCAAACATATGCTTACTGCAGTTGTCTCACTTCAAATGTTACGGTTTTATTTTGCACTTGTACGTTTTTTTTTTCCATATTTGTCATTTATGTACAGTGATTTACAGTCCGTCACAACAATAGCTTCTCAGTCAAAAGAAAATGTGGAAAACTGATTTAACACCTTTACAAACAGGAGCGTTGAAAATGCCATATTTTCATGACGGCAGAAATGGAAATAAATGAAACAGGCTAGATATAATTACGGCAAATTGAAGGCTGTCTGCAAAGACCGTCTCTGCCTGTGGCTGACCTGCAGTACATCAGCAGCTTTTACCGTCTTTAGATAGACATACTACAGGTGAGATTTGTAAAGTTGGGTCATCTTTTCCAGATAAAAGGTTCGTGGTCTTCTAAAAGAGGGAAGGACAACTATAACCCTTACAGCTACGGAAATATATTCACCAACTGCTGTGCAGCACTTTGTGGACCCCTGCCACCAAGGTATGAGAAGATGTGCTTTATTTGGTTTTATGTGGTTATTTACACATTTTCTGGTGCCCAGTTGATCGCAATGGATCAAAATGAAGGAAAGTTCAGGATTTATAACATATTTACAACCATTTTTCTTGTCCTCTTTAAACGAAAAAGTTAAAAAGTGTCACTTGACTTGTAGCACTGTATGCTCCATGAGTTGCCTACCTTCACTGAAGTAGTTCCTCTTTACTTTTTTTTTCGTCTAATTGTAATTTTCCGTTTTCTCCAAAGGCCAAAATAGTTCAGACTCTGTTTGATGTGAGGAACTTCTTTGAAAGGAGCCGGCCTGCAGCCTTTTTCTAAACATAGCTGAGCCACTGCAGGAGTATGACGAATATCAAGCCTGTTTTAACTGAACTGAACATCAAAGCTGGTTAGAGATATTAGATTTCATCCTTTTCCTGCTCATGCACAGGCCGTATGTCACATCTGCACTCTTCGTCTTCATGCGACTGTATAGATAGACGTTGGCCCACGTTTCCTCACTTCAGCCTTTTACCCAACAATCCTCGTTTGTGTAAACGTAGTTCATGTTTTTGCTCTGAATTATTAGCTTGAAGCAGGTGCCCACAGAACAGATACCTGTTGTCTTTCTGGCCACTGTGCCCACTTCTGAGATGCTTGGCTTAGGCTGACGTCAGAAATGTCTGAACTTTTTAAACTCTCAGCACTCTTGCCCTCACCCGTAAAGTAAATGTAAGCACACATTTGCGCTCTCGCACGTTTTTAAGTAACTCCAAAGGCGCCCACACATCTATACAAAGTCTAAGAAAAGCTATGATGCAGGCTTTTAGCAACTTTCTTATTAAACCGTTTGGCTGTTCAGTGCTTCGGCCATCATGCAATAAATCCCCAGTAATGATTTCAGTGGGTGGTGAGGAGAGTGTTCGGTGCACAGGTGGCTGCCATCTGGGCATTTGTGTTTGTGTTTGCAGCCACAGGCACTGCACAGCTGGAACCAGCAATAATAAAGGAATGTTTCACATCACCTATGAGCCAAGCACGCAACGCAAACACACACACACAAAGGCCTGTTGAGACTTGGACTAATATGTGTTAATGCATCAAATACATGTTTGAATGCCAGTTTCCTGTGTCTCCAGAGTCTCCGTTCATTACCAGCAACCCAGGCTGTAGTCTGCTGGAGTTTATCTCTGTGAAACTTGAAACTCCTACCAGCTCAGTCCCTCTGGAACTCACTGTCAACACTCTTTTTCTGTTAAATGATTACCCTGTTTGTGCAGTTTAACACCAGCTGACTGTGTGCATGTGTGGTAGATACCGCGCCGTATCTGATCAACCTCTCTCTGGCTGATAAATGGCCTCCGTCGCTGTATGTAGCCCGTTAGCTCTCACATGTGCACATGCATGCCAGAGTTCAGCAGGTTGTTGTCCAAGCGGCTGCGTCAGGACTCTGCAGCAGTAACGATGGGACAGAAACAATAATTCACTGTGCCGCTCCACTGCAGGACCGCAGTGATTTATCACCAAGTTTTGATTTTATGGGTCTGCGCGAGTAGAAATGAGTCTGCACTTGCTTTGTCTCCCTCATGGTCAAGACTTGAGTAATAGTGTTTGTATACAGCTTTGTGCATCAAAGTACTTGGGGTGCCCACAAAATATTATAATTGTCTACAATTAGTAAGATGAATGAATGCGTTTGTTTGTGGTTACCAGTCAAAATCGACATATTAGAATCTGGTTGCTTCTGTATTTATTAGTTGGTCACAATATTTGCTGCGTAATATCGGTCAATTAACTTTTATAAATGTTTTCCTTTCCCCCCGCAGTCTCATTGACAGACGAGGCTTTGTCAAATCCGATACGCCACAGATGGCAGCGCCGAGCAACGGCATCACCATGTATGGCGCCACCCAGTCCCAGCAAAGCCATATGGTAAGACACCGACACTGAAATGTTTTTTTCCAAGTTGAGTTTGTGGAAGTAAACATACAGAGTTGAGGTGTAGTTGTGTTCATATAGTTTAGTTTGTCAGAAATGGAACAGAGGCAAAGAGCAATTTTATTGTTCTCGAGTCTTGCCTGGAACAGACACAATTTTTACTGTCAGTAATTTTCCACACAGGAGCGCAGACGAGGAAGAAAACTGCATTGTTGAGGAGTTTTAGGTTCGTCACCATCAGCTTTTTACCCAAAAAGTCACTGTGGCTGCAAGTGACGAGAAAGAAAAAATCACGTATCTTGTTTTGAAGACATCTTTTTAAACGATCCCTGGCCTGGTTTCCATAACTACCTCGGTTAAACTAGTATTGCTTGAAAAACAAGAAACCAGTCAGAAACTGGGAAGAGTAAGAAAACAAGTTACGTGTGCTGTCAAAATTATGGTGTGAAATAATAGTGTTCCAGAAAATAAATGAAAGTGCAGACAGGAGGTGTGAGGTTGAATTTGATGGAAGTCCTTGAATTCACGTACCAGTACCATCCGCTTAGACACTAAAGTTGATGTCAGCTTGAGGAAATGACTAAATATTGTGACGTGTGGTGTCTGACTGTTGACGGAAATATTTACTAACCCAGATTGGTCATAGCTTAGAGCACAGATGAGAATAAACTTTTTTTAAATTTTTATTTTTTATCACGTTTCACTTCTAAATATTGTCCCTTTTCCACTGCATGACAAACCCCACACGTCAGTAACTCCTGTGAAGTGTTTCTCACTGGGTCTAAATTGGTACAGATTGCTCTGAATTGGAATAAGGAAGTGAGCTGATATTTCAACGAAGAGACTCTGTGGTGCCTTTTTAAACTAGATCAATAAACGCAGTGCAGCGGTGCCCTATTAGTTGAATTTTTGTTGTTGTTGGAGTTTCATAAGTCTTAAAATATCAAAGCCTATTTTTTTGGCACCGTGCTGATAATCTTCACATTACATTCAGATTTGTCTTGAGTGAGCACCACTAAGTAAACGGTATTTTTCTTCAGCGTTGAGCTGTCTCAGCCTAGAAGAGTATAGCAGAGTTGTTAGGGCGACACCATGACCTTAGTCACCCTGTGGCGTCTTCTTTTGTTCAGCGCTAACCACACGTTGCGTACCACCTCTGCTGCCCCACGTCTTTCACCGATGACCCTCGCTGTGTGCCACAGACTTCGTCTTGTTCACGCCCAAACTTGACCTCATTCTCCTTGGTCTCACATAGATGTCAAACATGAACGTAATCCGTCTCCATGTCCTAAATGAAGCAGTTGTACTGAGCTGTAAGCCACGACAACATTTCCCTACATGACCTAATAGAATACCTTCAGTAACCAACCATTTGTTTGTGATAGCTGTTGAAATTTACAGCTAAAGTTCTGGCTGCTGCACACAAGGTCAGCTGTATGCTTACAGTCCATTTGGTGAGTTAAATATATTCTAGTAACGCATCAGGATTTCTCTCACTTGCTATCAGGAGAGATTAGCAGGCGATTGATTAAATCATTTCAATCACATATGAAAGTGTAGAAGTAAAAGTGCTTTTTTTTTTTTTTTTTTTACAAAGAGCATGTGCTCTCCATGATTATTCAGATGAATATGAAAATACTTTTTTTTTTTTGCACACTGTTGCATAACAAGGAGACATGTTGGCCCACATAAACACATTTCTATCTGCAGTTACATTGTGAACTTGTTTTTGCACGTAAAGCCCGTCATTTTTAGCACGGAGCTGGCAAACGCACAGACGTTTCCATTTGTTGGGCGATTAAAAACCTTTGCTTCCTTGTGTTTCGTCTGTGATGCAGCTTAAAAACTCAGAATCCTTTTGAGCTGTTGCCGTGGTAACCGTGTGTGATATGAAGTCACATTACACCTTGATAACAAACCCTCCGCTCTGGATTTGACTCGGTGGTGGGGAAGATAGGCGGGTCTTTGTGTAGCATTACAAACGTTTCCTCCAGTTTGTTGTTGGCAAAATCTAAATAATTACATCAATGGACAGCCTACAAAAATAAAAAATTTAAAAAAAAAGTTTATATTCATCTTACACAACTGGCTTATAGACCTGTAAAATGTTCTATTTTGGTCCTTCCTTCCTCCGTTACTTCCTCTTAACCCCAGGAAGCGACGTGTTCGACCATTTCCTTGATTACACATGGAGCGATGAAAAGCTGAACACCCCCAGTTTCATTTTCACTTTTACTTATTTTAGCTTGTTGGATTTCAGATTTTTATTTCAAAACAGACTTCTTTGTGTCACGGTCTGTGTTGTCAGCGTTAACACCGACTGCTCTGCTGACTTGTTGGCTCCGTCTCATCTTAAACCTTGTTTAAACAGAAAACATTAATAAGATAAAGCTGTTGTTGCCATGATCTTGCAAATAAGGGACTTGCATCCTATTCAGGGTTAGAGGTAGAGCTGCAATAGATTAGTGGATCTATCAGAAAATAATGGTCAGTGATTAGAGTATTTTTATTAATTTATGTTTACATGCAGTGTGGTGTCTTCCACTGCTATCTAGGAAAACTATATGCAGTGAAGTTGTGGGACGAAGGCAATCTTTCTGAATAAATAAGCCAAAATTCTTGTTTATTGAAGAAAATATTTCAAGCTTGTGTCGCCACAAATCTGCTAATAAAAAAACTGACCGTTCTGCATCACTGTCTGCCTGAGGTAGATTTGTTTTTGTGGTTCTCTGCAGCTTCGCTCGTCTGCGGACAGACTGCACTCAGTTTAGTTGTTTCTGTTCATAAGAACAAGAACTCCAGAAAGTAGAAAGATGGATTTTACGGTATACCCCCATGCTTTGTGCAAACGTGGCAGTGTCCATTTTCCTGTTGTTAAAGTGATAAGAGCAGCTGATATGAAGGTTTATGATTCTTGAGACAACTTCTCTTCTGTTGCCAAAGGTAGATCAGCTTCTCTTCAAGTCACATCTGTAATCTGTTCTTTTTAGGTCAGTGACATTGAAGCAAAGAGGTGAGATGTCGGTCAAGTCACGGTGCTTTGTCAGTTAAACTTTGGGAATGCTGCGGGACAGAAAGAGGACGCCATCCATCAACAGGACTTCTAAATTTTTGTCATCTTTGTAAAACGTCGTCTTTAATTGATCTTTCGGATAATTTCTTTGTGGTGATAATGGGAAGGTAATTTCCCTGTAGCTAATGTATGTTAAGGTGTCTGGTCATGCCCTAACCCAGTTACCCCGCTCCAGTTTTAGACGAACGATTTCCACTCTAAAGCGATACAATTGAGATCAATCGGCCATGAAGCAGGGCGTATTTGTGTTGTCAGCTCTGTTTACTGCAGCAGATGCACAAGCTGGTGTGGGTTCTTTGTGTTTTTGTATTCTAACCAGGTACTAACGTTTAATTCTCTTTTTCACCCTCTTTTCCAATCACCTGCCCCTCTGTTATCTTCTTCTTTTTTTTTTTTCCCCCCTCATCCTCTAATTTTCAACGCTGCCTCTTTTTTAATTTCCCTCCATCCCCTCTGGCACCTTACTTCTCTTTGCTCTTCACATCACCTCCCATGCTGTTCTCTTTGTCCCTCTTTTTGATGTTTTCTCTCAGTGTGACCAAGACCAGTGCATTCAGAGCACCAAATTCGTTTTGCAGGCCGCCGCCACACCCCTCCTCCAGCAGCAGAGCAGCGAGCCAGTCATCTTAACCGCCTCCCCTGAAAACGGGGTGTCCTTACCCGGCCGAGCCTCCCTGGTTTTGGGCGGCCCCTGCACATCGCTCCCGCTCGGCCAGCCCACCCCACCGACGTCCACCCCCAGCCTCAGCTGCCATGAGGTCCCTGACATGCTGCCAATCCACGGACACAGCCACACACTAAACCACAGCCACCCACTCCAGGAACAGGTGGCTCACCACCACTATCTCACCCCAGAGGAAGTGCCCTCACCGCCAGGTATGCTTCCGTGCAGCAGCCCCATGGGCCACAGCCACACCATGCAGGCCAGTTTCTACAACCCTGCCAGCCAAGACTCACTACATGAAGACTCAGTCAGGGGACTGGTGAAGCTCAGCTCTGTCTGACAATGGGATTTGTACACTTTTCATCCCACTAAACCTCGTTCTGGAGAACTCTTGTGCTGCCTTGTTCTCAGCCGACTCCCCCTTGAACTACAGCTGCAGAACTGAGGTGGAAATAAACTGAATTCAAGTCAAAGTCAAACAAGTTCTCAGCCATTGCTGCCAACCTTGTTCACTGGAACTGAGAGAGGCAGTTCCTGATATGTAAGACAACTCGGTGACACTTTTTTTTTTTTTTTTTTTTTTACTTCCCAGGAAAAAAAAAAAATCAAACTCTTGCTCT